TGTTTGCATCATGTTATGTTTTGTAATCAATATATAATTTTTTTTCTTGTAGTCTACTATTGATTTTATCGCAAGTGATTTGCCAACTGCAGTGGAGCTTACTCCATCATCACTCTTTTCAACAAGTATGGAATTAGAATCTGTGTCATCCACTGTTACAGCTGTATTATCAACTCAGCCAACCCCAGAATTGAGTTCATCAATATTAGAAGCATTATTGTCAGCCTCAGCTACCAAGATTCATCCCACCTTCACACAAAGTGTAATACAATTGTCAAGCTCAGAAGGCCTTCAATTAAGTCCTTCCTTGAGTCAAATGGAATCATCAACTGGAGTTGAAAGTATTATTGAACCATCTACAACATTTTTGCTCTCTCCATCTGCAGTTAGTTTGCCTTCATCAATGGAGAGCATTCCCACCTCTGTAGTTAGTATGTCAGATATTGTTCAAGCAAGTAGCACAGTGAAAGAATTAACAAGTTTAGGTACAGTCGTTTCAACAGAAAGCATAAGCTCACCAGCTTCATATTCCTTTTTTGAACCTACTGCATCAGGTATTTCCAGTCTTGTAGTTGAGCCAAGCTTGTTGTTATCAGACAGTATATCTTTGTCAAACATACTCTCGCCAACTTATAGCAGTCAGGATGTCTGGACTGCCAGTGACAGTTATGTAGCGAGTGATTCAATGGTATCTACTGTTCTGGTCTCCAGTTTTGATTTATATCCCAGCGTACTAACTGAACTCGCATCTATGTCAGTCATCAGCCAAACTCCAGATTTATCAACAACTTTCACAATGTTTAGTGAATCCATCATCCTCCCAACAATGTCCCTGGAGGTTTCAGAAAGTAACATAATAACAACTGTACCTTCATCAATTATAAAACCAACCACTTGGATGACAAACAGTTTTATTGCACCTAGTGAATCTTTCACAACAGAATCAGAGCTAAGCAGCATGATACCAACTATATCAGCAATGGATTCAGAGAGTGAAATATTCACCATACAACCCTCATCAATTATACCAAGTGAATTCATGACAACAGAATTTGTGCTGTCCACTGTATCTATGTCACCAGAGGTTTCAGAGAGTGAATTCTTTACCATAATTCCTACATCAATTATACCATCCTTCAGTGAGATCATGGATGCTTCTTCTGTAATTATTCCTACTGAACGTTTCAGTTCAGTTTTAGTACCAAGTGAATCCTTGACAACAGAATCTGTGCTTTACACTCAATCTATGTCACCAGAGGTTTCAGAGAGTGAATTGTTCACCATAATTCCTACATCAACTGTACCATCCTCCAGTGAGACTATAGACACTTCTTCTGTAATAATTCCTACTGAAAGTTTCAGTTCAGTTTTAGTTCCAAGTGAATCCTTTACAACGGAATCTGTGCTTTCCACTCCATCGATGTCACCAGCGTTTTCAGAGAGTGAATTGTTCACTGTAATTGTACCATCCTCCAGTGAGACTATAGACACTTCTTCTGTAATCATTTCAACAGCGAGTTTCAGTTCAGTTTTAGTACCAAGTGAATCCTTGATGACAGAATCTGTGCTTTACACTCAATCTATGTCACCAGAGGTTTCAGAGAGTGAATTGTTCACCATAATTCCTACATCAACTGTACCATCCTCCAGTGAGATTATAGACACTTCTTCTGTAATCATTTCTACTGAAAGTTTCAGTTCAGTTTTAGTACCACGCGAGTCCTTGATGACAGAATCTGTGCTTTACTCTCAATCTATGTCACCAGAGGTTACAGAGAGTGAATTGTTCACCATAATTCCTACATCTATTGTACCATCCTCCAGTGAGACCATAGATGTTTCTTCTGTAATCATTCCTACTGAAAGTTTCAGTTCAGTTTTAGTACCAAGTGAGTCCTTGATGACAGAATCTGTGCTTTCCACTCCATCTATGTCACCAAGTGTTTCAGAGAGTGAATTGTTCACCATAATTCCTACATCAATTGTACCATCCTCCAGTGAGACCATAGACGCTTCTTCTGTAACTATTCCTACTGCGAGTTTCAGTTCAATTTTAGTACCAAGTGAATCCTTTACAACAGAATCTGTGCTTTCCACTCCATCGATGTCACCAGCGTTTTCAGAGAGTGAATTGTTCACCATAATTGTACCATCCTCCAGTGAGACTATAGACACTTCTTCTGTAATCATTTCAACAGCGAGTTTCAGTTCAGTTTTAGTACCAAGTGAATCCTTGATGACAGAATCTGTGCTTTACACTCAATCTATGTCACCAGAGTTTTCAGAGAGTGAATTGTTCACCATAATTCCTACATCAATTGTACCATCCTCCAGTAAGACCATGGACACTTCTTCTGTAATCATTCCTACTGCGAGTTTCAGTTCAGTTTTAGTACCAAGTGAATCCTTTACAACAGAATCTGTGTTTTCTACTCCATCTATGTCACCAGCGGTTTCAGAGAGTGAATTGTTCACCATAATTCCTACATCAATTGTACCATTCTCCAGTGAGACCATAGGTGCTTCTTCTGTAATCATTCCTACTGCGAGTTTCAGTTCAGTTTTAATACCAAGTGAATCCTTGACAACAGAATCTGTGCTTTACACTCCATCTATGTCACCAGAGGTTTCAGAGAGTGAATTGTTCACCATAATTCCTACATCAATTGTACCATCCTCCAGTGAGACCATCATTGCTACTGCGAGTTTTAGTTCAGTTTCAATACCAAGTGAATCCTTGACAACAGAATCTGTGCTGTACACTCCATCTATGTCACCAGAGGTTTCAGCGAGTGAATTCCTCACCATAATTCCTACATCAACTGTACCATCCTCCAGTGAGACCATAGATGCTTCTTCTCTAACCATTTCTTCTGAAAGTATCAGTACACTTATAGTACCAAGTGATTCTGTTCTGCCTACTCGAGTAATGTTCTCTTCTATCACTGAACTGTTAAGCAGCATCAGACCGTCCAAGTCACTAGATATTTCTGAGAGTGAACTGTTCACCATACATCCCTCATCAATTGTACCATCCTCCATTGAGACCATAGATACTTCTGCTGTAATCAGTCCTACTGAAAGTTTCAGTTCAGGTATTGGGCAATCCCCTGTAACATCATCGTCTGTGAGCTCAGGAAGCTTGGCAACTTTCACAATGACAACTATATTACCAACTATATTGCCAACATCTGTTGCTGCATCACTAACACCCTCAGTTAGTCTAGAATCAACATCCGTGCTACAATCATCAATGATATCAACCTTGACTGTCTCTCCCTCTGTAGTTGAGACAGAATCATTATCACCAATAAGTTTAAAATCCACATCTGTTGTGATGACAACTTCTGTTGCCATTTCAACATCATGGCTACCAACTTCTAGTTTTCCATCTACAAGCAGTTTAATAACACCTTCTCCCAGCTTTAGTCCCACAGTTCAACCGACCTCAATAACTCCATCACCTGTACCACCAGATGAGTACATACTTACAATGCAAATAAGGATTATCAATGGCGAACCTAATGATACAACCACTTGGGAAAAAGTTGAGAATGACTTAGCCATATTGTATGATCGTGGTAAGCAAAACTTGATGATCGAAAGTTCCAGACGTAAACGGGATGTTGAAAACAACTCAAGTGTAATGCGAGACATATTCAAAGTGGAATATTTAAATGACTACAATGCATCACATCTGATTGGTACAAAATTTTCTGAAACTGAAGCATTTGCTCTCAAGACACTGTATGATGGAACATGGAACAATTTACAATATTCTGAGGAAATTCGTCACAGACGAGAAGCAGGAGATAACACAACACCTGCACCTGTAGATACAGAAGTCACGGTATGTATATTCATTTCTTTCATGGAATTAAATGATGAATTAATTTAATTTGTTTATTTTGCAGTAGTTTGTGTTTTACAAGTGAAAATTAAGACAAAAGTTCATCTTTCCCTTAGTTCTGATAATTTTCAGACTCAGCAAATACAAGTTATATTGCATTCTTATTTACCAGTACTATGAGGTTATACTGGCATGAATGCACAAAGGCACCGTAGTCATGGTAATGAAAACATTTCACTGTGTTAATGTTTGAATTCAGTGACTGTATCTTATTTCTGTGATGCACATTAACGCTTCTGTGTTCGATGTAAACAAAGGACAGTGTCCGAATGTGATGTAAACGTGTGCATTTTCTAAACAAGGAAGATATTTGTACGCTTTCAAACATATGAAATTTTATGGTTAGATGAATAATTAAATAATAATTGAGATTATTCCCCCTTTCATTGTGAATATTAATTTGTGAAAAAGCAAATTTTTTTAAATTTTTTATTTAAAAAAACTGTTGAACAAATTTTAAGGAACTTGATATTAGCACAATTTGCAGATCTTTGAAAAATATTTTTGTGAAATCCATCAATATTAATTACTCAATTTTCATAATAATTAGCCAATTTTCAGATTGTACCTGGTATATTCACAAAACTGTTTATTACATTGAATGATTATTTTTTAATTAATTAATATCATTTAGGCCACATCCATCTCTGTGTGCAACCCGTCATATCGTCTGGACCAATTTTCTTGGGGGTCTTCTTCCTTCTTTCTTTTGTGTATATAAAGCCTAAACACTGTGAGTGTTACATATTGAAGAAATTTTATAGTGCAGATCAGCATCTCATCTGAGTGCTGTTTAAATTAGTTGAAAGTTGTACTATAGCATGTACTCATAGGTAATACTTTAGGATGTTGAGGGGTTTGATTAAAATTGTTGGGTAAATTGTAAAAATTCAAAGCAGTGACAATGGTTAACAGTAGTTTTTGGTGCTACAAATTGCAGACACCAACAAGTTGCAAAATATCTCTAGCGCCATCTACTGGCAGCTTTAACACTGTCAGCATTTTCAATATATTTTAGACAGGCAAAATTCTGTTTTTACCTGCAGAGGGCATAGTTCAATAAAACCATAAAATAAACAAATATATCTATTGCTAATAGAGTTTTTTGTAATAATTTATTATTAATAGCCATTCTATTTCATGTATTGTGATTACGCTAAATTATTAAAATTATCATGATAAAGAAAATTGGTAAAACCATATTGTATCTGTCTATTTCCCTTAATGTTTATTTGTGCATCAATAGTAGTTTAGGAATTAGGCATGTGTGACCAATAGGAATAGCAACAGGTGCTGCTTTTATTAATCCCTTCTCGAATCTCATTAACTCAGAGAATATTAAAATTTTACTATAATATCTATGTATGAATCAGTGAAATATGCAGAAAAGGAACTCAAATGGGATTATCTGATTTCATCTCACCATATGTGCAGGAAAATAATATTAAAATGTAACGTTCATGTTTGGCCGAGCTGTTATTTTTTCTCAGTCCCTTTTCCTTTTTTTTTTACGTCTTCGAATTATTTTTTGATTTTTTTCTCTCTGGTATTCTGGTTTCTTGTTCTGACTCTATTTTGGAGGTGAGTATTATGGGATGTAGTAGGTGTGCATGTACCTACTTGGTGTGTATCGGTATGTCATGAATGCATTTAGCGTTTGTTGTGAGAACCGGTCCATGGTTGCATTCTATGCATTCTATCTAGTATGTATTTTATATTAAGTATAGAAATAATTAATTAAGTAGTCTTTATTGATATGTTAATATATATATTAATTAAAAATGTGCAGTAAAGTATTGTTTTATATGATTTAGAAATAGATTGAAATTTATCTTATTTTAAGTCAATTGAATAATTACTAAGAATGTTAGTGAACTAAAATATAAAATAATAAATAATTAATTTTGAAAGGCTCTATCAGGATATCTAACTGTAATTTGACCTTCAGTTTGTGTATAGATATACAGAGATTTGCTTGTAAAGTCAATGGAAAATGACATTATTGAATCTCTGGCTCTGGCTTTCAGTTTTATAATGTGTGTGCACAAATAATGTATCTAGGATGTATGGCTGGTATTGTTGTAGCATTGTCTGAATGGCACATATTGCTGTTCATGTTTTTAACCGTTTTTTTTTTTTGCACCTACTCATTGTGGACAAATTAATCAATAATGGATTTCCTGTTGTTGCCTAGCAACGCATTGCCAAAATATGGCTTAGTTGTATTTGTTTGTAGTTGTAAATGTATTTTAAAATTCTAGCTTTTCAAAACAAACAAACTTGTTTTTTCCTAGATTACTGATTTGACACCCTTGGGAGATGATGAATTTGAGGTGTTATTTTATGTGGTAGACGACGGAACACCTGTACCTGCTACCAAGGCAACTGAAGCCTATGCTACCATGACAACCGAGGAGATGAGTGCGACCCTTGGCCAGGAAGTAAGTGGGAAAACTTAAAACCATCTTCTGACAATTATATATAAACAAAATAATAATATTTGTGATCAAAACTACATACTTGTACTGCCATCCATAGTTGTTATATTGCCATCTAGAATGGTTATACTGCCATCTATAGTAATTATATTGCCTTCTGAAATGTTTATTGCCACCCATATTAGTTATATTGCCCTCTAGAATGCTTATACTACCACCCATATTGGTTATATTGCCCTTTATAATGCTTATACTGCCACCCATATTGGTTATATTGCCCTCTAGAATGCTTATACTGCCACACATATTAGTTATATTGCCCTCTAGAATGTTTATACTGCCATCCATATTGGTTATATTGCCCTCTAGAATGCTTATACTGCCATCCATAGTGGTTATATTGCACTCTAGAATGTTTATACTGCCACACATATTGGTTATATTGCCCTCTAGAATGCTTATACTGCCACACATATTGGTTATATTGCCCTCTAGAATGTTTATACTGCCACACATAGTGGTTATATTGCCCTCTAGAATGCTTAAACTGCCCTCTAAAATGCATATACTGCCCCCTAGAGTCTGATATTGTCATCTATTGTTTTTAATAGAATATAATAATATGTATCTATATAATGTAAAACACTACTTTAAAATTTTAGGTGACGGCTTCCCCCACGCCATACCTACAAGAAGAAACAGACAATACTCTGTGGATCATTATTGGCGTTGTCGCAGGAGTCATTCTCCTCATCATCATTATCATCATTATCTATTGTTGCTGGAAGAAAAAATGCTGCAAATCTGGTAAAGATGAAATTGCATCAGATTCAAAAACGAAGACACAGAAAAAGGGAATGGTAGGAACAATCTTTTTGTTTTATAATTTAAATTTTTTCATTTTTATGCGATTCCTTAAAGATAAAAAAAGACACTGATATGATTGTAAAGAACGACTTTGTTTTCTTATTTGCATATTTTGTTGTGTTTATTCCATCATTCACAAAAATATGCTGCTATAACAACTGACTCGTAGTTTACTGTAAAATAACTTCATCATTCTATCCTAAGTTATTACTATTCAGTAACATAAAAATAATAAGTATATTATTTTTGTTTTTTATTTTCAAATATTTCTATCTATTATTGCATTCCTATTATTTTTTACTTCGTCAGGAGTTTGAATCATTTTCAGAACTGAACGTAGTAAGTTTCCATTCTATAATCATTATTTAACTGAAACGCACATTCCTAACCCTGTTTGCTGTGTAATTTTCGAGCCTTCCATCATAACCAATGTTGGTATTATGACCCTGTACTTGTCACATATTGTGACCAGCACATTTCAAATGTCCCTGTCAGTAGAACCAACCCGCATTTTTAAAGAAAAAGTTAATAAATAAAGAAAGTTAATGTTAGAATTCTAATTTAGTTTAGATAATATATTGTTTAACCTTTTCAACACCAGTTCTCTCTCATCATCACAAATTTACAAATTAATCTTGTTTATAGTCTGCACTTACCTTCAGAAGATTGGGACAAAAATAGTCAAAATTGACTATAATTGTGACTGTTGGCTTCAAAATTAGAGTTCATTTCCAGAAATATTTAAGAATATAAGAAAAAAATGCAGAATAATTTTGGTGAGAAATTCTGGTGGTGAAAAGTTTAAGGTTAATGAAGTGTGTAGCATTGTAGAATTAATGTGCAATACAAGGAGTGTTCACTGTAAATTGCTTATAAATATTGCAAAAGACATTAATTTTCGCGAGTCACAGAAAATCGCAAAATTTTAGTACATAGTATATGAAATTTTGACCTTGACCTTGTTTATTTTAAAACAATGAAAACTGTATATAGTCTAATTTAATTCATTTTTATTTTTTGCACAAAACACAATCTCATTTGCAGAGAAACGCACATAATTGGGTGCACGTTTGGGTCTATAAGGCAACAAGTCACAGTTACCATGGTAATATCTGTTTGTATCAACAAAGGCTTTCAGATTATCATGATAATTGGTAACAGCAGTTGAGCCTCTATTGTATTGTTTTATATAACTGCTTTGATTTACAAAGGGCTGCTAATGTGTGTTGTACTGTTATAAATATCATTCAAAATACTAAAACTGAAACTGACATGCATCATTATAGTATTAAACTATGTGTGCTATTAAAAGTAGAAAATATAATACTATTTTTAAGCAAACTTATGTAATAAAAATTCCAATAATTATCCTGAAATATATTATTTTGTTTATTCCCTTGAACAAATTTGGTTACAACTCAAGCCTGGAATCTGTGCTTTTTCTGAGGTTTCCAAGATCTTTGCAATAAATGCCTAGTCAACAGTGAACTATGGGAAATAAAATATTCTCCCATTCATTGGAGCATATGGAGGATTCCCCTTTAATTATGTGATCCGTACATGATTGACAGATGCCAATGTATGGGTGATATCAGGTTTATGATCAGTATTTGACCCTGATTGTCACCACCATGCATTGATACTAGGCATATTGTTGACCTTGGAAAAGACATTGATTCAATAATTCTTGTATATTGGCATCAATATTTTTGCATGAAAAGTAATATTAATTATAAAAATATGAGATGAATATTATAGTGCTATCATTATTTAGATACTCTGTTACCATATGGAATTATAGGATTGAAAACAGGAATAACAAAAAAACAGTTTTATTAACATTCCCTAATGTTCCAGTATAGCCTTAGTGATAGACTAGTGTATACCTGTGTGACCTGTCTATTAACAATGTTTAATAATTGTTTGTTTGGTAAAATATAGTGTCATGACATGTTGTAACATCAGTTGCCGTGGAAATCTTTTACTTGTTCAGTGGCAGCTGTGTGGGATCATAGTTTTTTTTTTATATTTTAGTCTCGCTTATAAATTTTTGATATTTACCACATTCTATATTTATGCTGTGTATAATATTGTTACATAATTCTAGTAGACTGTCACTTGATAATTGGCATTTTTTTCATTTTTATACTTTATATTATACTTTTTATACAAATATTTTATTTATTGGTAATATACATATATTCAATTTAGGTGTACCAAAGTGAAAGGCAGTCGTCATTCAGTTCTAAAATAGTCGCAACGATAAATGTTAAAATGTTACAGTTTACAAACAAAAATTATTGTGATTTCCATATGATAACAAATACTCAGTAAGTTTAATTAAAATTTAAACATATAATTGCTTTAGTAATTTTGCTGACTTTGATTTTTTTGTTTGTTTTTTCAAAATTATAAATGAAATTAAACTTAGTTTTATTGGGAATTAATGCTTTTACTAACACGCAAACACTCGTAGTACATGTTCATTTATGCCTAATTTACTTGTGATTAAAGAATTAAATCAAATATTTTATTATAACTTGATACTAAGACTTAAAACTAATTATATTTAATGTCTGAAATTTATCATATCACAAAAACAAAATGGATGGTACCAGTGCATTGTTGACCAAAAACACATAAAAGTTTTACAATATAAAAGCTTAGTCATGTGCGATTCACAATATACCAATCAGCAATCAGTAAATCAGACTCACCGGGAAGGCATTTGGTGTGTTTCCTCTAACCTTCTTTGATGCAAGGGGATCCCAAATGACACAACCAGAAATAATGAATTTTGAAGTGTCAATCAAAGTCTTTTTCTTGAAAAACAAAGTTTGGTAAAATCAAAACATATTGTAATTGTCAAAACATTTGTTGCTTTCCTAGATAGGGTGGTACCACAAAAATATTTTACGAGGTTGTTGAAAAAGTTCAATCAATAAAAAAATTGTATAGCACTTTTGAAAGATGTGTTGAGTATGTTGAATAACAGAGTAGGTGTGCCAATCATGGTGAATGATGTATAACACATATGTTTTCTTCCCCAGACTGACAAGACGACTAGTATAGACATGGCTGGTCTGCGTATCGACATCGAAAGAGGCGAGATTATCACCACAAGCACCAATCTAAATAAACACAAACCCAAAACTAACGGTCATGTGCAGGAGACATCAATTGACAAGGAGTTCTTAGAAGATGCTAATGCTATTCCAAAGATGGATAGAACTGATAAAATCAGGTATGATTTTATTTTTACTGAAATTTTGTCATTTTCTACTTCTATTTTCTACTATAACATAGCTTTATGCTATAACATGCTGCCACGTGAGGGCGCTGTTTTGAAAATATATAAATTCTTGGGTTTGACATAAAAAAATAAAATGTCTAATCTTCATTACATACTGTAAAAGGGTTAATTATTCACTGGGTTTTAATTTTGCTTATTTCACTGACTGGAAAATGCGCTAAATTAAAACCCAGTGAATATGTAAAATTGAGCATAGAACACATTATCTAAATGATAAAACCGTGAATTTAAAACACACTGAACATGCCTGAAATGGTAAATCAGTGAAATTTAAACTAAATTTAAATTAAAAATTAGTCATTTTACAGTACCATCCTATCTTACTACATCAAAACAGTACTGCAGCATTATAAACTGGAACATTGTCTAATATTGGTTGTTAAATAATATTTGTTATCTTGTATTAAATGCAAAATGGGTTAGTTTTGTTTTTATTACCTTCTCTAACATATCCTCATCACACTCCCTGTCAAAGACATTTCAAATGCCATCAAATATGCACAACACATGTCTTTTAACGGACAGGTAATTTCAGTTGTACAGTGTATATGTATTTTTGACACTTGATTACACATTTTTTTTTGTTCTAAGCTTAATTTCTGAATCTGGTGATGGTGACAGTCTAAGTATCAAAGCACGGAGAATAGAAGATATGCCAGCAGACAGAAGACCAAGATCCTATGGTGGACTCACTACACCTGTGAAATTAGTCAGCTCTTATGAGAGCTTGTCTTCACTTGTCAGCATGGAGGTGGGTTAATTAGAGCATTCAGGAAATGTGATACTGTGGAATACTTTATTTTCGCTGGAATTAATTTTCGCTGAAAAGGCTTTTTGGGCGTTTTGCTTGGAATTTATTTTCACTGATTTTTCATGAGTTTAATGTGAAATATAGGAAAAAAAGTATATTCACTGGATTTTATTTTCACGGAATCGTCCCTTCAGCGAAAATAGCGAAAATAAATTCCAAGCAAAAATAAAGTATTCTGCAGTACTCGAAAAATATTGTGTGGGTGGATATAGTTTTGTCCCCTTGATAAAGTCATAATAAAGAAATAAAAACTTTGCCATAAACATGTTTGCATTTGTTTCATTGTACACATTCATTGGTGATAGCAGTGGCAAAACCTTAGTGGATTAAACAGGAGTTTCATAAGATCATCTCTGATTGGGTATCCTATACGAACACCTAGCTAGTCAATCACGGAAGGTCTTTTATGTTCACTACCGTACATGACTGCTCCTGATTGGCTACCCAATTTCAAAAAAACTTTCACAAACAATCATAGAAGACACATACATATTCATGGTATTTTGAAATTTTCACCAACAGCAGGAAGGTCCCGACAGAGATGCAGGACTGTTTACCCATGTTGCACTCATGAATAAGATTGATGAGGATGCAGAGGGGAAAACGCCACCTGTACGATTTAAACCAAGTTTACAACCTGAGGAAGATGGCATGTTGAATCTCGCTAATCTACCGTCATTGCAACAAACGCCACTAGTCATGAGTATGGATGACGATACCAAGCAAATACGAATGATGAAAGCAGCTGGTGTTCCAAAGGTAAATAGAATATATAACAATGGTATTTACATTTTGGTGAAAAACTCCAATGAATGTAGCTAACTCGTCAAGTTATAACATTTCTCTCAAGCTTTTTTCTGTTTCACTAATTAAATATAATTATTAAGTGAATTGTTTTATGTGCTAAAACATTTTGAATCTCTGAGTAAATATATATAGTCGACAGTACAGTACCAGACAATAGACCTGAAGTTAAAAAGATTAAAAAAAAAAACCTGCTGAAATCCTCTGGTTACTGAATGTTTTCTTTTAAATTATAACAGATTTGGTACAAGACTAAAAAAGACTTAGATCCAGAACAGTTAAAGGAAGAAATAGAAAAATGGAAGTTAAAAAGAAAGGAAAAGGAGAAGTTAAGAAAAGAAAAAGAAAAAAAAAGAGCAGAGCGAAGGAAACGACGAGAACAAGGACTGCAGGGGGTTGATAACCCATCTCGGGAAATTGAAAGAGAGGCTTGGTTGGCGGCACAACCTGAGGTACGAATGGTCACTGTGAACTGCTCTAACTTCATAAGACAACAGTTTTTGTAAATTTTGTGATTAAGTGAAAATGCAAAATTTTATATTAGTGAAAACTTCACTGGGGTCCTAAAGACATTTGGGAAGCGAATTTCTCACAAAAGTCATAAATAAATCATTGCGATAATTCATTGCAACGAAAAGATAAACTATTTACAATCCAATATTAGCTCTAATAGTAACGGGTCTTTCAGGAAATGACAGAGGTGTGTATCTGTGGTCAAAATAAGTCATATTTGAATAATCTTGCATAAAATAAATGCTATTTTTAGTTTTATGTGTGCTACTATTGGAGATATACATTTTTCATAGAGCAAACACGATATTATTGCAAAAAATAATTCATGTATTCTAATAAACCATTTTCTGACATTGGTAAATTTTATCCTCTGTAACCAAATAATTCTCTATAAGTCAACTGTAATAAAATAAACTTGCATAATTTTTAATCTTTTTGACTAAGATGTGCAGACAAGAATTCAACTTTCTTGCTAGAACAAAAATTATGGACCTTGTTCATATACCAATACATTTGAAATCTTCAGTCTATGAGTTGGATTATTCTGGTTCAAAATTGAAAAAAATTTCAAATAATATATTAGCCCCAATATTACAGTGAAAAGAATGTTCTCCCAACCCGGACATACATGTACTTATAGTTAATTAGTTAATTGGATAATTATTGTGCTAGATTAAGCAATTTTTGAAATATAGCTGGACCTAGGGGGTCCACCGGGGCTTCAATTGTATGTGTCTGAGGTAACATAATCTCAGTATCTGGATTACATGATGATCACATGAATTTGGACTTTCCATGGTCAAAACTTTTTGTGTTATACAAAATGAAATATGTTTCTTGTTTTCTTGAAAATGCCTGAAACGATAATGTCAACAGTGTTTTATGGCTGATGACTTATTGGAAAATTGAATTTTTTCAAAGTTTCAAAGTTGGTTGTTTGCTGTTATGAAACAATGCAAATGTTTTCCCTGTCAAACACTTCCCAAGATGCAATGCAGAAAAATGAGATAGTCATAGCATATAGCACTGTAACATAAATATGTACTGATTATGACTTTATTGAAGACAGTGTCTAGTGAACATTACATTCAATTGATATATGTATTTTTACCAATTTAACTTTATATATACTTAACAATAAAGTTTTGAAAAATAAGTAAATATTTTTTTTATTTTTTTTTGATGTATTTAGCTTGAAGCTATCTTGGGTGAAGACCCCAGCCCAGCTACAAAGTAAGTATGTTTTAATTTAGAATTATGCTGTATGGTATAATGGTCATCACAGCATATTTTAATCCTTAATCATTAGTTGGTGTGCATGTTTAAATAAATTTGTTAATTCTGTTTCTGTGATTAAATAATTTGTTTATGATGATTCTCATTCTGTGAGACAGGCATCCCAAAGTGTTCCAGGCTTCTCAATTATAACTGATACCATTTCAAACCAGATGCCAATGTGTTGTTTTCAAACCCCACCCTAATTTTTTGATATAAAAGATGTATCCCAGAATGCAATATACTTACATCCATATCTGTATTTTTTCATACTATGCATTCAATGAGCAGAAAGTATTTAAGGTACTGTGTTGTTCTCATCTGTATCGATATACTGCATAGTTTTACTAGTTATACCTCAACCTTTCCTTCTTTTCAGTTTTCCCAGCTTTTTGATTATATATATATATTATATCTACAATGTTCCTTGCCTTCGTTGTTAGGTGAAACAAAATTGACTATAAATGTCAGGACTGGGAATCTGCTATCAGGCACAACAATACATTAAAAACAAAACAAGAAAGTTGATTATTGCCTCATAGTGTGGGAAGCTGATTGTTTTTAACCATTTTGTGTTATTAAAACTTTTGACTACATAAATTCAGAAAGTTTAAATCAAAGACAAAATGTAGTAGTGTATCTGAAAGAGGATCCTATGACTTGTAGATACACTACCCTTTCTATAATATATGTAAATTATATGGTAAAACAGGATAAGTGATATTGAAAGTGTGCTACCATGGCAACACCAATTCAAATTTGGATATTGTGGACTTGTGTCTTTTTGTTTAATGATAGTTACTATGCTTTTTTGACAGGCGCATGCAAGAATCCCACAGTGACCGTTGGAAGAAACACCCACACAAAGCGATGCCATCAACGACCATACCAAATGCTGAAGCACCACAGTTTGTAAGTTCTGGAAATAAATCAACTTCAAATTAAGAGTTTCATCTTTCTCTTTAATGTTCTGCTTTTCACCGATGGTTGGGGTAGATGAGTGAAAATTATATACTTGATGACAATTCAGTGAAAATAATTTACACATCTAAACTTGAATTATGGTTTTCATTTTGTTTTTCAGAATGTGAAAAAACTTGGTCGTAATATGCGCGCCAAACCTAACAAAGTATCGGCAGACACCGTGGCACAACCAGGTCAAGAGAACGTACAGTTACTGAATGTCCGACCAATTGGTACTATTGTAAGTATGGGAATAATTTGTGTTGAGTAGACCAATTTCCATTCACTGTGAAATTGACCATAAAAACACAACAAATAAAGGTCATAGCGGTGTAGTAGCATCAAAACATCACATGGAAACGTGGAATTAAAAAAAACATGAAATTATATATCTACACTCTATAATGTCGTATAGACATTTGATAATTGGCAATTGTAAGGGTAATTAACATTATATTTACAGGCAAATTGACATTTCAACTTTAACTATGAAAAAGTTAAAAATCAAATCATTTAATTTTTTGTAGCAGACGGTCCAAACTTTTCATGCACTAGATCTCATAGTAAATCGAAAAATCTCCTATTCAATGATTGCCTGACTGAAATGAGCACCATATATTGATAACCTGGACTACTCTAGTATATTCTTTGATACATTTACAGTTAGTGTATTATTAGATTTACCAGCTTTACCACATGAATCACTGGACACCTTCAATGTTAATTATTCTAAAAACTAAATTATGTTCACAGCCACGTGAGGGAGCATACTGGGGTGAAACTGTTGACGTACCGGTGTATGCTGCAGTACCAATGCAATCAGACTACGCTTGGATGCCACAGGTGACTGACCTTGGTGGTTCTCAGCAGTTGCCACAACAATATATGCAGCAACCGTTGCCACAACAGTATATGCAACAAGAGATTCCACTTCAACAGATGCCACAACAGATGCAACAGCAGCTGTTCCAACCAGTGGATACACACCCTGTGAGTATAGACATGTGTTGTTTGGTTTAGGTCAGTGGGAGCAAAAGCTGTCCTGGATGACAGTGTGAGGTGAGATTTAAGTAAACGCTCTCCAGGAAGATAATGTGAAGTGTGATTGAAGTAAACGGTGTCTCGGATGACAGCATAAAGTGAGATGGAAGCAAACGCTGTCTGGATTACAGTTTAAGGTTGGATGGAAACGAATACTGTCCAGAATGACAGTGTGAGGTGGGATGGTAACAAATTTCAATAAGAAATGTTGAAATCAAAATATATAAATTAATGTTTAACATTTAAATTTATTAGGTCAGGTAAATTGATGATGCTATTATTTTCATTCACAGATTTATCAAGAACAACTAGAGCTGCAGAGACTACAAGATGAGATGGAGAACCAGAGGCGGAGGGAACAAGAAAAAGCTGAGATCAATCGACTATTGGATGAGGCATTCTCATTAACTAATACCCCACTGCCAATATCGCAGGGATTTTCACCTTCCTCCGGGATAGATATTTCGCCAAGATCAGGGTCGTCAGGTATAGCACCCGGAATTATATTAGATCCGGCATCTTTGGAAAGGACGCCTAAAAATCCATCCATGATTCCTGGTGCAGTGTCAACTGGAAACATCTTCCCAAATCAGATAGGTTCTCTTCCTAGATCAGGTTCTTATTCTGATAATAATTTTTCACATCAGTTTGGAATGCCAACGACTGATGTTGGATACACTCCTCTTGGAAGTGTGCCCAGACAATCGATGTTTCCGCATCAGCAACAATCTCAGAATATTTTCCCTGTGCAACAATCACCAATGCTACAAAGGCATCAGCCGCTCATACAACCGCAACCACAGTATGGAACAGCAGCGCCCCAAAATGTGAGTCAGGGATTGGCAGGTCGAAGGTCACTCAACCCTGGGGCAGAGCAACTTGAGAGAGAGAATGCCTCTTTGAGTGAACAGTTGAGATTGCAGCGACTTCAATTAGATAACACCTTATCTGAACTGGGACAGGCTCAAAGCAGACTGCAACACTTGGGTGAAGGTAGTTCATCTAGGGACTCGCCATTATCACATTTGTCAAGGCTCCAGAGAAAAGTGGCTCCAGCAGCCTCTCTCTACAGACCTGAGGAATTAGCGGGGCCTGCTGAAGGTTGGTCGACGACTAAAGGACACAGAGGCCCAGATGGACGTACTTCAGTAAGTTCATTTGATATTTATATTCTGTGCCAATTAGTATTTGGAAACTTTCTGAAATTACAGTAGATAAATATAATATTTACCGGTACATATACTACTACCCTTTCCGTACAGCTTACAGACAGTATTATTTCAAGTTCTCAACCACATGGCAGTGGTTCAACAAGGCACCAATCAGCTGAAAGACAAAGGTCACCAGTCAGCAGTAAAGGTGATGATGTCATTACTGATGGACAGGAGGGTTCAGGTAAGCCCAAGTTTATGAATATGCCTTGTCTTTGAATGTTTTTAATAAACTGTTTTCATGAAAAAAAATCTAAACATTATCGTAATTTCACTAATGATTTTTTGTGCATTTCACAACCCCATAAAACATACAAACTTTAGAGCAGTTGGAAATGCTCATACAATACTTGGTGGCTTGTTAAAAGTCAGACAGTTCAAATTTTTTTTTTTAAATTCTACAGGAAGATCCAGATCTTCGTCATCGGGAAAAGAGCCGCACCTGACCTCCGCCAGTATTCCAGGTGTCTCGTCATCAGACACATTAACAAGGGAACAAAGAGAAGCAATCATTCAAGGCATGAAAAATTATGAAGTCTGAAAATAGATAATTCTTCCATAAATCTGTTTTCTATTAAAGATGCAATGAAAGCATAGACCTCTCATACTGTGCTGATTAATTTCCAAATTAATCAAAAAAATTAACTGCATATTATGCCAGTATGATAAGGTCACTATGGCTTTAAACTATATTATAAACAATGGTACATGATGAATCAGTACTTTGCAGTATTAATGGTTTTTGATTTTTTTTTCAAAAATTTCCATTTTTTTTATTGTGTTATTGCTGTCCAAAGGTGCATTTCATGCTAAGATACCGGTAATATTAGCTAAAAGTTACTCTGTGACATATTTTTTATTTCTAAATTCTCATTAAAAATGTAACTTTTATTTTCTTTTTAATATTGACTTTTTCTGTAGTTTCCTTCCATACACCGCTTTTTTAACTGATGCATGTTGTGACCAGAAATTGGTCTATTTTTTTTGTCTGGGCTGAATCTGCCCCCTCCCCCGATACAATGCAGGTTTTGCTGTTTCAGCAGGTCTGAAATATAAGAACTAAATAAAACGCAATATTAATAACTTCCAAATATAAGTGTTAGAAGACTATATACTAATAATAATATAGCACGAACATATATGTTCAACAAATAAGGCAACTTTACATATCAAGTTTATGAAACAATCTTGGTGATTGGGTGCTTTTCAAATTTCCAGTTTACATTACCAAATCAACACGTGCCTTACCGGTACTTTGTATTCAACTATTTATTCGTCCTAAAGGGGAATTGCTAATGGAATGGTGCAATTGATTTTGTAATCAAGATAATGATAACTATATATATATATATATATATGTAATATATTAATACTTCTGTAAAATAAGTTTTTTTAATGTATTTTTCAATTGGCCAATTTCCTATTTTATTTTAGTATAAATTGCAACCAACTCTGTTGCACAGCAGCCTTTTCCTTGATACATAGTAATAAATTATATTCACTTTTGTGCAATGCATTGAAACACAGCATTACAAATCAAAATGTGTCTTGTTGCTCCTACTATAAAGGAGAACCATATTTATAATAAATAAAAAAGTTATAAAACAAATTTTAATATATAGATACTACTTTGTAATTTCTTCATAGCAATATCAATTTTAGAATGAATATGAACATATTTTTCATTACTTAGGAAAATTATTAAATGTTTATATGAATTCGCATTTACTGTGAATGTGATATGTAAATACATGTACAATATATAAAATGTACTAACGTAGCTTTGTTTTGAAAGATCATTCTCATCAAATATGTAATTGGAGTCATGACTCCATGATGTGACAATTATTTTACGTCACTTGTATACTTTTGTTTTTCCTGTTTTTACCTCATATCAGAACTTGTATTGTATAGTTTTTATATGCAATCAATTTTGTCTGACCAATACAGTAGTTTTATCTTCCGTTTAATAGTGGTAATAATGTCCTTGTGTTACGCCTTGTATACTACCATGTAAGCACTGAAAATAACATTCTTGAAAATTATGTACAAGCATGATGGCGCCCCCAGTGTTCAAATAGGTCATTTTCCTTTGTTTTTACATGATTACCTTCATAGTTCTCTGCATTTGAGAAAGGTGTGTGAAAATATTCACTAAATTGAAACACAAAAAAGGCATGTAATAATTGGAATATTTTGATAGTCCTCAATTGAATCAATTCTTTCATCTACTGCTTTGTATGGACTTGTGCTTCCTGACTGGACTATGAATATATTACATAGAAATTACGGCAACAAGTACTATGAAATACATGTACAATATATAAAATGTACTAACGTAGCTTTGTTTTGAAAGATCATTCTCATCAAATATGTAATTGGAGTCATGACTCCATGATGTGACAATTATTTTAAGTCACTTGTATACTTTTGTTTTTCTTGTTTTTACCTCATATCAGAACTTGTATTGTATAGTTTTTATATGCAATCAATTTTGTCTGACCAATACAGTAGTTTTATCTTCCGTTTAATAGTGGTAATAATGTCCTTGTGTTACGCCTTAAATACTACCGGTAAGTACTGAAAATAACATTCTTGAAAATTATGTACAAGCATGATGGCGCCCCCAGTGTTCAAATAGGTCATTTTCCTTTGTTTTTACATGATTACCTTCATAGTTCTCTGCATTTGAGAAAGGTGTGTAAAAATATTCACTAAATTGAAACACAAAAAAGGCATGTAATAATTGGAATATTTTGATAGTCCTCAATTGAATCAATTCTTTCATCTACTGCTTTGTATGGACTTGTGCTTCCTGACTGGACTATGAATATATTACATAGAAATTACGGCAACAAGTACTATGGAATACATCCTGTACTATGGAGTATGTGGTAGAGATAGCAATTTTTGTTTTTATAAACTATACTGTATATGTGTTTTAATTTCATGCCTTATGGGCATGTTTTCCCTTTTTATACAATCTCTGAAAAAATAATTATTTCTAAAAATAAATTTTTTTAGACAAATTAGGTGTTACAATTTGTCTTATAGTTGTGTGTTTGCAAGTAAAGGATTTAAGTGGATTGCAATCTGATTAAAATCTGATGTAGGTATTATAGGTGCCAAGTTATGATACAAGATAAAACTAAATAATAGCAATTGAAAGCAAAAAATTCCACCTGTATTTCTCAAGTATTGGTCAGAGAGTACACTGATGCAAAATCAAGACAAGCCCTGTTCCACTGACTTCTCGGAAATTGCAGATCTGATGGTGCCATTTATGCTCATGGTTTTTACTTTAGTTTAACCTGAACATTGCCCTGACAAAATCAGACAGTCCCCCATGTTGCTTTTACTGGTAGTTGATCTCAATGTCTAGTACAAGTCACATGTACACGTCTACCAATGGGCTCGCTCCATGCATTATTTGTATGTCAATTTTAATGCAGTATGACTGGGAGTGCATAGACCGACAAAATGTGGTAATATAGTCACCGATACAGAGAGAGAAACATGCATGGATACCTTAAAAAAATGATACATGTACCCTGTATGTATGATCCTGATACAAAGGCCTGATCACCTGCAAGAAATGATTCTGGAAATATAGACTGATTTTAGACAAATTGGTCGTCCGTTAAATCAAATCACAAAATAATGCAACCCACAGTATACTATTTTTTTTTTTTAAATATTTTTGTGCCAGGTGACAGTTCTGGACATTGAATGTCACCGTTGTCTCTTCTGACTTTTTTTTGTATGTGCTAGTGCTGACACATAGTATACTATTTGTAAGCAAACTTTCTACTGAATCTATATATCAGGAAGGAAAGTGGCCACCAGTCGGCCATTTCTTAATGATCCTGAATGAATGAAACCACTGGTCATCTCTGAAAAATGGCCTCAAACACATTTAAGAATCAGAATTTAGCAAATTGGAGGACCAAAATGATGTCAGTCAACCACATTTAATGAAATAGTAATGACAAGACATGAATGTCACTGTCCCCGTTATTTAATTATAAAATACGTTAAAATAATACAGTGAACATCTGCAAACAATTGAATTAATATGTACTCTATATGAGTACAACTCATCATAAAGTGATTTTGTTTAATCTTATAACTGAAAATTTCATTGACCTGGGTCCAAAATCTCAAGTGCAACCAAACTATGTCTCATACATGCTCAAGAAACTCATAAATCTGAGTAAACCTTGATGTACCTTTAATAACAAATTCACTTCTATGTTAATTCAGGTCTTTGTATATTACCAGGACCTGGGTTTGTTTCAGTATCACCACTATAGTTCCCATCAAAATGTAGCCCTGTCACCCCTCTACTGTTTCCACTGAGATTGGTAATGGTATGACCCATCTGTCACTGATTCAGATCCAGGTCATGACGTCACTAAAAATCCTAGCATTACAATCTACTGGTAAGCTAATTATTTATTCTGAGCATGCTCAGTTGTTCTCTCAGTGATGTTGGGAGAGGTAGTTTTGGATGAAAATCATGAAAAAGACCCACTTAGGATTTTAGACTTGTTCATCAACCTGCCAAGTTTCATCGATATCTGCTGCAGAGTTTCTGAGAAAATATTAGAGATGTCACAGACAGAAAATTGAAATAAGAATTAAATAGTCCGCCTTTCAGGCTGCGCCTGAAATGGGGACTAAAAATGTGCATGCATGTCTGAGAAATGGCTCCACATGGATGGACAGAACCCAAATAATATTCCCCTGAACAAGGCATTATTATACATTTGTCACCGTAACGCCATACATGTAAGTTACAGTGTGTCGTAATTTTGCTGTATTTTACAGGGTATTTTCATCCTACCACACAAGGAAATACAAATTCCAAATATGGAATCATTATACACGTACATATCTAAGCATTCTCTAATAATAAAAACAAACATGGCTGCCACCAGGTAGTGACTGGACTCCACACAAAGAAGTTCGCTGATTCTGTTCTAAACTTTTTGAATTTCGGCATTCCCATGATGTATCCTTGGAAGGAAAAGATGTATAATAATAATAAGGTTATTACGAGCATACCTCAAAGTATGAACTTAGACAGTACGTCGTCGCATCGACCTCCACTGCGCGTCAGTTGATACTTTCACTGTACTCTCTTCATGCATACTTTGAGGTAACCTCGTAATAACGTAAAATTATTATATATTCTTACATAACAATACAAAAAAATTATTATGTAAATGATATTGAAATTTATTCAAGGTAATTATTTGCCCCTTTTTTCTTATTTCTCTAGTAATATATTTTACAAACATTCATTAAAATATATTCTGTTGAAAATACATTTCTCTAAAATCTATAAATTCTAAATACATACTACCGGTAATTGGATTGCATTGGTTGAATTGTAGTTATCTACCGGGTATTGCTAGCACTAAAATCTCATTGGTAAAAATAAGATTCTGGAGGTCATTATTTCTGTTTAAAGATGGACATGGCGACCCACTTTTGAAAATTGTGTGTACTGTGTGATCGATACTGTGTTTACGATATGGGAGAAATCAAAATGTAATTGTTTCCATGGAAATAAGTTCAGGTACCTCCTCTTAATTTCCTTTGCAATTTATTGGATGGAACTTCTTTTGCACAGCACAGCAACTTTTCAAGGTATTTTTTGTATTTTTGTATTTTACTTGATATTCACGTCCATTGTTTGATAAACTAATATTAAAATAAGATGTCTTCACTGCATGGGGTTTGAAAGTAAAGTCACATCTTATTTAAATCCTATGTAATATATAAACATCAAAAACATTTTTTTTTTTAAAAACACTTTCAAATTAAGTGACAATAAATTCTTGTGATCTATACTTTGATATTGTTTCTTGACTGTTACTATCAAACTTTCCCATCAGTCAAATAATGTAAATTATTAAAATGAAAAACTAGTATTTAAAACAAAACATTGCAAAACTATAACATTTGTATCAGAGACAAACATTTGAAAAGTAAAAACATCTGCAGAAAAAACAATGACACCACATTAAAAATAGTAAAGCATACAAAATTTACAAACATTCCTTATTTTGATATGATAATATCAAAATGATAAAATTAAATCAAAACTGAACTTAGATTTTGACTGACTGATAAGATATTAAAGTTTGAAAAAAAATGGATAAAAATGTCTTGCTATCTAACAGAAATTAGAAGCATTGACAGCATAGTCTAGATATTAATGCACTAAATAGTGAATCATTATGCGTAGGACTCAATAGGACAAATATTTTTAATAGCACAAATTGTAAATACAAAAATCTTTCATTTTCCTGAATATAGTTCTCACTTTCAAGAAATGTGACATCTACTGGAAGGGAGTAACGAACCTGGACACAATTGGTTGAAAAATCTATCTGATTTGCATAATGAATAATTAATGAAAATTGAATTTTGTTTTACAGTGATTTTAAACACGTTTTCAAATTAAGTTTAAATTTCCACCACTGAAATATTTCCAGCTCAAATTTTCTCAGTTTCTACAATTTTCTTATATTTTAAAAGATTAAAAAGGTTTTTAATATGCCTTGAAAGTTGGGAATACTCACAATTGTGGAAAATTTGGATCATTTGTTTCTTATGAAGGACTGCTTTTTCGTGGAAGGTGACAAAAGTTGACAACGGTGGTGAAAATGTAAAGGTTTAATCACTAAGAATTTATAAACATATCCAAGCACCTGTATGGCATCTAACATTTAGGCATTTCATAAACAAAATAATTTTGACGTATAATGCTCTGTGCAAAACTGGCAGTGAGTGGTTGTTTAATATAATTGTGTTAATATAAGTGTTAGGCTAGGTGTTGGTTAAATATTTTTTATTACTTTATGTTTGGATATTGAGTGGATATCTCAAATCCATGGAAAATGACAAATATCAATGATAAGATTAAAACAGTTTTCTTTTTTTTTCTTGCTGAAACTTATTATTCTTCACCATCAAAACACTGAACACACAGTAAAAGTATCCTACAGGTTTCAGGTAATCAAAATTACAGATTATTGTAAGGTTGATTTTATGACAAATTGCTTGCGTATTTAAGAGATGTATAGGCAGGAAAAAGAATCACACATCTCTTTGTTGATGCAAATTAAAGATTAATTAGTGTTGATTACCCTGCGCATATCAACATTGGAACAATAACCTCTATGACCTGAAATACAGCTTAATACTCAATGGAGAGATAACAATCACTTTGGGTGGTGACGAAATTATACATTTAAAGGATATATACGGTATGCGATGAAAATCCCATTTGAAGTCACACATATTATGAGATGATTGCATAAATGCCAGACAACTGAACAATTCTAGAAATACTGAATGCAAATGAGTGAACCTGTGAAAGAAAGTGTGCGTCTCAGAATGTGTCCTTGTGGATTCTCAGATCATGTAATATCCATACTTGTATAGGATAATAACACCCAATAATAACCTTGTTCAATTCGGTTCCCATAACCAAGCATTTGCAAGTGTCTATTGCTTTCTGCACTGTCATTGATCTGAAAATGTGGAACTGTCATGAAATGGGTTCGTCATTGCATATCATCATACATGGATATCAAAGTTGCATACCCTAAATCTTTGAAGTAGTGAAATTCCTCCTGAGGAAATTTTGAATAAAAGAAAAACTATTCATTGACAAGTAGAATATAAAAGAGTAGAGATCTTTGATCCCTCTCAAAATCAGACTGAAATACCTCATAGCCACACATTTACATACATGTTTCACCAAAGACATTTTTCATCTCTGTTTCTCATTTTAGAGTAAGATACAAGTCTTAAATGGGAAATTCTTGCAAGGAACAATATTTGTGATTTTTTTAAGTACTGCCGAATGTGCGTCCTGCTAAATTGTGGATATTTTTAGTATTGAATATTTATCAGATACAAAGACAGATTATCTCAGAGACAAACTAGACACAGATCTCTTCATAGTTCTCAGTCTTACTACTTCCTGGCGCATGTTTTCCCTCTCCCTCTCTGTGTCAATCAATTCATCTTGCAGTTTCATCAGAGAGTGAAGCAAGGACGCCCTCTCTTGCTCAACAGTAGAGAGTGCAGATCGAGTCATTCCCAGTTGTTCTTTTAGTTGGTGTACTTCTTCTAGTAGTGGGTTGATTTCAGACGTGGGTGAGGTCACCTGACTGTTGTTATCTGTGGGAGACGATGCTATGGAGGATGGTGCCCCTTCTGATGGTGCTTCAGACAGCACTGAACCTGTAAAGTTGGTAAATGCACATAAACCTTACTATTTGCAGGAGAGCAGGGTGGTTGCAGTACACACACTCAATAGCAGGTTGCATGAATTTGTTTATTTACATAAAATTTTAAGTAGCATACAAAAGGGCCACATTTAACTCTTGGACCTAAGAGTTGAATGGCATGTTTTTTTTAACTGCAAACATAATCATATAAAGCATAAAGATACCAGAGTAACAATTTTTTTTAATGTTTGTGCAGAATTTTTCAACATACACAATACCAATATGTTCCTTGTGCAGGATAACCATGTGTGTAATAGTCTTTGACATGTGACACCTTGATAAAAACTGTCAAAGCATTCATATTTCATTCTCACCTTGTCTTTCTGCATCACTACTTTCCTCCCTGTCTAGTACTTGCGATTGGCTGGCAATATTATTTGAGGATGGGAGTCTGAAAAATAGACAAATTTAGAAAACATGAAATTT